GCCTATTTGTAATGGTTTCTCTGGGTTAAAATAAAAAATAACCCACGATAATTCTAAAGTTCCAACTGCTGCCCTTTTAGAATAACAACTTTTAAGTCAGTTTTTAAATAAAAATACCCTTAACCACAGTATTTCTGGACAGTAGGCTCATAAGGGATGCGTACTTTCCTCTTTACGCTCTTTTGAATTTTCCCTAAATTCTACAATGAACATACAAAGAATTTTCCTTCATGGTAATAAGGAAAACCATTATGAAACATATAACACAAACATATTTCTTTAAGAGGAAGACTGCCTACATCCAGCATATCCTTAACATTCACAGACTTGACAACTGCCATTTTAATCATGTGAAGAGTCTGAATGACCCTGAAACGTTCTGCAGTTTAACATTTTGCAGCAGCGTGAGGAGGAATCTCACCTCAGCGCTCATACGTGGAGGTGAGTCACGCGGCCAGTGAACAGTCGACAAGCTACGAGCAGTCACTTCCCAGCACAGCTCTGTTGTTCTCTACCTACCTTCACAGCTCTCATTAAGGATCTGTGGAAGCTGCTTAAATTTTTCATTTGTACTTTATTGCATTTCATGAGAAAAAAAAATATCCCATGGTGGTTTTTTGAAACTCCTAAGATTTTCAAAGTTTTCAGGGCATATATTTCACAAGCGTCAGTCTTCCACATTTATATAAACTGTTAAATAGCATCCCTCTTGAGAGCAGGGAATACAACTGGTTTGTTATTAGATCACCTTTATGCACTTTATAAATTTAATTTAACAAAGCAGTAATTGGGAAGTATGCAAATTAATGCACATTTTGTTTTATTCCCCCTAAATATATACTTATAAAGGTTGACACAATAGGTTTAAAAAATTCAAACAATATAAAAGAGCATGAAAAAATAAGTCGCAGTTCCATTTCTCCCTGAATCCCACTCCTCTAAGACAGTCACTGTGAACAGATGGAGTATGTTGCTCAAGAATTTTAATGCACACATGAATGTTTTTTCTCTTACACAAATGGACATTCTATATACACACTTCCATGGATAGTGTTTTACTCTACAATATTTTGTAGCTATCTTTCTGTGGCCTGGCAATTGATCAACTTTTTCTTTACTGCTACATAGTACGATTTATTAAACCAACGCCCTATTTGTGGACATACAGTTTTTATTTTTTGCAATAACAAAGAATGCTTCAATGAACATCTTTTACATGTGTTATTGCCCACATTTGCAAGTGGAATTACTATGTCTAAGGAAATGCCCATTAAAAATGGTGATCACTACCCTCCAAAAGCTGTGGCAATTTATACTCCTAACAACATGTGAGAGTACCCACTTTCCAAAACTTTCACTAACAATGGATATTATTTATCTTTATCATTTTGACCAATTTTGCTTTACTTATACTTTCTTGAATATAAGTGAGACTTAATATTTTTTCAGATGTTATATACTTAGAAAGATCTCCCCTATAACGAGATCAAAAAGATGCTTTTATATAGTGTCCTGTGGTTTTATTTTTCACATTAAATCTTGAAAGCTCAAATTAATTTGGGAAAAGATATGAGTTAGGAATGAAACTAATATTTTCCCAAATTTTCATTTACAATAACATTTATTGACTAATTTCTAATTTTCTCCACTGACTTGAAATTTTTTCTTTGCCATATAATAAATTCCCACGTACACATTTTTGTATCAGCACCTGCTAAATTAGTACTTCTAGGACATTTCCTACCTCATCACTCCCTTATCTTCATTTTAAAAACTTTTTCAACTCCTCTTAAGAATTTCTGCTTTTGAATAAATCTAGGGAGTAATTTGGGGGAAAACGGACATCTCTACCATATTGAGTTTTCCCATCAAAGAATATGATGTGGCTCTGTTTATTCAGGCTTTTATCTGTCCTTTTATAAAGTTTTATAATTTTATTCATCTAGGTCTTACATATTTCCCATTAAATTTATTCTTGAGATTTTATTGCTACTATGAATAGGATCTTTTGCTATGTACAGGAAAGCAATCTTTTTTTGCTATTTATTTTCTATTTGGCCACCTTACTAAAGTTTTTAGCTCCACGTTTAGAACCTATTTATCAAAGTAATTTATCAAAGTAATACCTGTATTTCTTTTTTTTTAATTGAGGGCTTTAGAAAAGCAGGTGTCCTGCCCAGTCCTGTTCTCCAGGGATGGCTATCGTTAAACATTCTCTCATAATTTCCAACCGATTCTCTTGACATGTTCTAGACATGTAAACTCAGTTCATCTGCACATGTTGATAATTTGGTCTCTTCTCTGCATTATTTACTCTTCTTTCTCTTCCCTGTGTATTGCCTTGTCCCTCAGTGGCAGCTCTCCTGGCTGATTCCCATCTCGTGGTAAATCGTTAGTGTTTTACTGTTAATTGTGATGGTCACTAATAGCTCTTGATGGATAATCCTCATCAAGTTGGGAACATTTCTAATCCTAGCTTAGGAAGAATTAATAAGAGGTCTTTTTCTTCTTCTTTTAATCAGTCAGTAATGGATTTAGAATTTTATCAAAACCTATTTGCGCATTTTGATTTGTTTTCTCCCAATGAATTATATTTTCTAATATTAAATCAGTCTTGCATTACTGGAATAAATCCCACTTGATCACTGTGCATTACTGTTTTAGTACAGTACTGGATTCTATTTGCTAATATTTTATTTAGGAGTCTTTGATCTGTAATATTGGTAAGATTAAGCTACATTTTCTTTCCTTATCGAGAGTGTCTTTGTCAGGTTTTAGAACTGGGCTTGCTTTAGCCTCTCATACACAGACTTTTAGTTAAATAATTTCAAATTCCAGGGGTCTTTATTACCATCACCTTTCTTTTTTAAATGAAAACTAAGCTTAACAATTACAGATCCCAAAAGCATACAAATAATTCTTGCCAAGTAGACTTATAAAGCATGTAAAAGCAAGACATCAGGTAATCACACATCTTCATCGCCATTTAATAAAAAAATGTGTGTCAATCAACTAAAATTCACCACATGCTGGATGTCCAAGAAAGGTAGTGCCCTTCATTGATACATGGTAAACAAAAAGAGAACGAGGACCTTATCATCTACTTTTTCAAGCCAACAGTAAGTTCTTGAACAAAACAAAAATCATGTCTGAGAATTCAAAGAAAAGCCAGCTGAGAATACAGGAAACATGTTTCCGGCCAAACCCTAAACACTTCAGGATGGTCTGGAACCCCTGACGCTAATACCAAGCACATCAGATTTCAATGAGTCTGTGCCAAGAAAAATACTACTTGGGATGAGATGCAAACGCCTTCAACCACCTAAGCTGTGCCATACACTCTCCTCCCAGATGGTCTCAAGAAAGGAAAGTGACTATTAAAGCGTCTGGGATAGGTAATAAGTGAAATGCTACAGAAGGCAAATAAGAACCATGTACATGACCAACTGGGGATGGGGGGGACACTGCACAGAAGGGAAGAAACCTGAACAAACCAGTGTCTCTGGGTCTTCCAACCAAAGATCATCTTGACTTACTGGGTTTTGTTTACATTAGGAAATATTGTTCAAATATACAGCCACTTACAGCTATCAAGAAACAGTATTTTTTTTACTAATATATCAATATTATTATAGTTCTTAAAGAAATTATAAAATGAAGTCATAATCCAATTTAGATCTTATAGTCTGAGGCTTTCTAATTCCTTTAATAATTTAATTCTTACTGATTTCCTCTCTAAATGACCAAATAATGTTTGTTTCATAAGTTAATTTGATATCAAATATATTGTGACATTTTCTTAATCTCAAATAGGCTAAAAAAAGTTTTGGAGAAACATTGCAGCCATATATTTTAGGGGGAATTGGAGTGGATGGGGTTTCCCTAAATTCCTTCTGAATTCCCGTTCAGAAGAGACGATCAACACCGTTCCGTAGGCGGGGAACAAACGGACAGCATCTGCCGAATGTTTTCATAGACACAGTTGCTCTGCTCCCAGTGTCTTTGACAGTCATCCCGAGAGATTTCGAGAAACTACCTGAGTACCAGAGCCACAGGCAAAACTGCTGCTCCTCCTCTTTTAATAAGCCAGATGCTGCACAACGCACCTGTGACACGGAGAAGCCTGTCCTTCCTCCAACAGAAAGGTACATTTTTATCAGGATGATTTGACTCTGGGGCACTGCTGTCCAATACAACTTTCTGCAATAATGGAAACGTTCTGCATCTGTACTGTCCAATACAGCAGCCACTCGTCACGTGGTTGTTAAACACAAAATATGGTTGAGCAACTGATTTTAATTAAATTTTACCAGCCACGTGTGACTCATGACTGCCTTACTGGACAGTGCAGTTTTAGACCAATAGAATCTTTTGTTTCGTAGGAAAAGAGTGTATGTGTATATATATTAATCATTATGACAGTGCTCCCTAAAATAGCTGAAGAAGAGAAAAGAATTACTTTTAGTGAATATACAATTCAGGGTCGAAATTATGTTACTTGCCTTCAGTGTAGAGTTACTTAATGATAGAACACACAGTAGGTCCTTCTCCATTTTTCTATCCTAGTTTCTTTTTATGACTAACAAGAACAATTAGTCATTTTAGTGGTTGGTCAAAGATAGGTCTTTTGCCTTGAGTAAAGTAGTGAATACTCATCAAGGAAAAAAGGTGTTCAAAATCTCCCAAAGTAAATGTGAATCTTAATAGTCTTGAAATTAAAAGCAGGGCCTCAGGCTTAACCAATAGTTGTATCATCAATAGATTTCTCAAACTATTAGTTACAGCTTCTCAATTTTAAAACCACTATTAATAAAGAAGAGAAAGGTGAAAAATATTTTATGCTTGACCTAATGTCTTTGGCAGGCATTCAGGTTTGACTTTTAAGTTATAACACAAATTCATTAAAGCAATTAACAACATAGCACATACAGATGGAACTTATAAATCTATTCAGCTATTTCCGGGGAAAAAAGAATTCTAGAACATTAAAGTATCTTTACCTCGTAATGAACAAACTGGTCCATTTTCTTGATTCTTAGAGCGCTTATTTCTGAACTGACTTGGAATATCTAATGAAAGGTCTTAAAAGGAAATACAAAAACAGAGAGCTGTTAAAGGCATACAACCACACTCAAAAACTAATTTCAAAAATCGATGTATTTTTAGAGATGTATCTCTTTACTGTCTTCATTTTCAAAGGAAACATTAAAATTATTATTTTAATAGAATATTATATCTCCACATGCCAAATACATCTTACCTAGGAATGGATCAAACTTTCTAGATTCTGTCCCACATATGAGGCAATTAACCTCATTTTGGAGAATGCCTCCGAATATAGCCGTGACAACCGTAGATGCTCCATTTCTAAAGAAAATCACCACAAAGGAAAATATCTCAGTAAAAAACTAAAATAAATGTGTGAAAGCTCCTATAGGCGACTCCCTTTGGGGAATATGTACATCATTTATATTTACTTAAATTATGAAATACGAAAACTTCAAAGCTATATAGATACAGACTAACTAAAAGGTTGAAGCCACTGACTAGCCTCCCAGCCCCTCTTCCAATCCCATTCAAAAGTAACTAACACTGGACGTTTGCCATTACTAACAAACGCTTCACGTACGTGCCTCCTCAGGGCAGGAGGACCCCTTCCCCCACAAATAGATCCCTTAGAAAAGAGGGACCTGCCATATATTTGAGTCTTTGCAAGACCTCATAGTCCAGGGAGTTCTCTCAATTACTTTACTTTGAACGACAACCTCAACTGGAGACAGTTTGAGATTTTTTAGGTGGTCATCTGTCAGATTTGGGGAAAATGAGGTAAAGAAATTTAATACACATTCAGTAATTACTGATGGAGATATGACTTAACAATTCAAGTGCTGAATGTTACTATCAACCAGCCTTTTAAACGCTCACTTAAAACAATACTGTAAACAATTTCCCTGTGGAGATCAAGAATACACCACTTTCAGAACAATAAAAAACCAATTATCTTAATGTTACTTAACCTCTCTGTGTTTCAGCTTCATCAAATGTACAGCAGGAATAAGACATCTACCTCAGAGGCCTGGTGTGAAGAATATGACAGTGCTTTTAGACAAGCACTTACCAAAAAGAAAGCCCTTCAAGTGTTTTAAGGCTATTTTATTAGCATAATAATTAGGATCATCCCTCCTTTTTCTCTTTTTATTCCCTAAGTATACATCTTGAACACGCACTTCACTCTTTTTGACAGCTGCATGGTGTGCCACAGAATGGATGCAAGAACCACCAAGAAAGCGCACCAGTGAAAGCGCGATTAGCAAGCACTTACTAGAGGCCAGACTCCAGTCTAAGTACTTCCATTTATTAATCAATTAATCCTCACAACTCTGTGAAGTAGACATAGTTATGCCCATTTCACAGACCAGGAAACTGAGGTCCAAAGGTAAGTAACTTGGCCCAAGGTCACACAGCTGGTCTGGCCTGAGCTCTTAACACTACACTCCTCTCTTAATTAACCAATATAACATTAATGTATGTTGAGGTCGTTTCACTTGTTTGCTATCATTAATAGCACTACAACAAACACTTATATATTGATTATATATTGACCTTTGTGCACTTATGCAGTTACTTGAGCCAGTAAATGCTCTTTTTTGCTAATAGCAATTTGAGGTGATTTCTGTCACCTGCAGTCAATGATACCCCTAATATACTGGACCATTCTTTCTGAGCTGCTCCAAATTAAATCTCTTGCAATGATGAGATAGACAAAACCTACCTGGGCAATTCTATTATTTTAAAAGTGTACCTCCTTTTCTAGGAAAGGCTTTCCTTCCTTTACTGGCAAAAGAAATATACTGCGGCTTTTTTTTAAGTTTCTCATAAGATACACAGTTTAATAAATTAAACAAAAAGGGAAAATACATTGGGAACTGTAGGACATAATGGCCATTTCAGGTTTTAGGTTTAATATCTGTGTCATAAACAAAGGACATACCCAAAAAAATCTACTGAAAATAAAGGGACCAGGACTGATCCTCCCACACTGACGTTCGCATACAATGCTGCCTTAATTAAAGTGGAAACTGCTTCATTAAAAAGCAGTACATTTAAACTTGATGTAGCTCTTCCTTTACAATTTCTTCCTCTGAGAAAAGAATCCTGCTCACATCTTTTCTATCTGATGTGCAATGGCATTAAGTTGAAGTATACAATGACTTAAAACAAGACTCGTACATAATTTCAAAATTGCTGTTCCATTTATCATAACTGCACACCAAGACTGTTTACATATTGGCTACTTGGAGAGGCTCTCATGCTGCGAGGGTCCTTTATATTGGCACTAATGATTTTCCATGCACTAAAGAGAACACATCTGCCATTGATTCCTACCATCCCCACCCCCACCTTCAGCAGGGTTGGATGTGTTTGTACAAGTAAACATAAATAGTGCACAGGAGACTTTTTCTGTAATTTTAGCAAATATGATCCTTAGATCCTAAAATGCCCCCTCCAATGAATGAAAAAGAAATAGAAGAAATATAAACCTGAATTCTGGATATTTGATAATAAATTTTTTCTTTTCTGTTCCTAACTCACTAATGGAACTTGCAATTACTATTCTTTAAAATATCATGAAAGGATGCAGATTAATACGAAAAACTCATTAGTTACTGAAAGAACATCCTATTACTATTACAGAATGTGACTCCACGAGGGTGCCCTGGGCATCAAATAAAATAATAGAGACATATACCCCCTCACTTCACACAGACTACCCTTGATAGAGCCCAGTTCAACGTCCTTGTGTGTATATGCCATCATAAAATACAAAACAGAATTTTTCATGTAATACTATTTTTAATTTGGTGCTAGCAGCAAGAACAATTCTACCAGGCCCGCGTCCTTCCCTTTCTGCATTAGGTTCTAATTGGAATCATAGCTGCTAGGACCCGGAGGGCCAAACATTTTGAGAAGCATGACAGTTCAGATGCTTGCCCTTCTCTGATGAGGCCAGATGAGCTGTGAGGCTGCTCCGGCATTAAAAAGACCTTACCTTACACTAACCAGATTTATGGACTGCCAGGCAATACTACAATGACTGCTATATATTACTTACTCTTTTCTTTCTTTCTTTGGAGAGTTTGTCTTGTAAATCCCTTTCCTGCATAGGTCAATACAAAACTTTTCAAGAAATTTGAACAGAGAGAGACTACAATTAACCAAAACCAGGCTGCAATAACAGTGAATCATGCCTGCCTCAAGCAGAATCAACATTCTAATCTCAATGTAGATTTTGGGGTATTAGTATCTGGGAACACAATCCAAAAGGTTTGCTGTGTTGATGTTGAGAGCCAAGAAAAAATTCTGAGAACTTACAAATGCCTCAATTTCATTAAAGAACAGATATACGTTAGGAAAATTCAAGTCCAAAATAAGGCTTTAGGAAAACTCACATTCAAAATATTTTAAGCCTTTGTTTTTAGTGAACAAATATAATTATTCGGGCATATGAAAATTAAGTCTCCCATCCATTATTCAAAACATTTAAAGGAAAATTTTTCAGTGCTACATTGTACAAATATTTTCTATTTTTTTTTCAAGTTTTAAAATAATCTATACCAAAAACAATCAGAACTACACCAAGATATGAATACAAGATGCTTGTGGTCTGGAAGCAGAAGGCACATGCTTGTCCACTTGGTCACAAAATTCAAGTGCACAAAAGTTTCAGCAAAGGTCCAGGAAAACTCACTACCTTCCATTATAAAGCTAATAAACAATAATACCAAAAGAAATGTCTGAGGTCCTCTTAAAAAACAAAAGGAAACTAAATCTTACATGCAACATTTGTTACTTGGAGACAGAGTAGAATTCTCCTGCAGAATTGCTGAGCGGGAAACACCGTTGAAACCGCCCTGGAGCTCCAAGTGCAGGTGGTCCAAAAGGTAGCGCATGAATTCGTGGGCATCCTGCTGCTGATAACCCCTTGAAGCAAACAGAAACAGTGTGTCACAGGCGAGGCTCCGCCTGCCCAGCCAGTCTCGCAGGAGGGCAGAGCGCTGGGCAGAGCTGCAGCCCTGCACTCAGAGCACGGTGAGCCTCCCTGACCCTTGATTCCCACTTGCTCCATGTTTTACACAGAAAATTTCCCTTCAAGGAAAAATTCTATTACTTAAAAACAAGTTTGAAAACACAGAATGTTAGGGCTAATTGGACTTGTAGTGACCTCAACTGACCTCACTTCAGAAATGAGGAAATTGAGGGGCCAAAAAATGAGGAGGGAGGGGTAGTGACTAGCCTAAAGTCCTGCAAGAGTCACAGAGATGGGGCTAGCAAGCCCTGTCTCCTGGACCGACTGCGTCTCCCCACTCGCCCACATGCCTCTCTAGAAGACGCTCAGACGGTAGAACTTCACATCTTACTCTCACCAGAAAACTAGATCTAAACCACCACTATCACTATAAGAAATAAGGAATTTAAAGCTAATTCTTTAGATTGAAAGATACTAATTTTTAAACATTGGCTGAAAGGAAGAAAAACTTTAAAAAGTTAAAGATGGCTAACAGACCATACTTGCCTCCTGATCTCTGCTTCAAAGGACAGTTTTAAAATAAATATTTTTTAAATGCATTGATTTATATACAATTATGCTCTCGCCTAAAACTTGAATATATATAGCAACATACTCTTAGGTTACTTCTTACATTATATTCGGACAGGAAATTATACGGAATTACTATACTAATACAGATCAATGACAGGTGAACAGTAATGAAGGCTGACAGAAAATGAAGCTGGTACAGTTGGAAGCTCACAGAGATTTATGTAGATAAAATCCATCAAGCAATGATATATAAAGTACTTTCATAAAACTATGGATAGAGAAGACTTCTGCCTACGTTTCACCACCATGGAAGGCTCTCTTTAATGTACCCTCTAAATTGCAAGTTTTCCTGGCCTGGTCTTCCACCACTTATCCAAGCAATGGTTCCATAAACAAAATTTCTTTTGCCCAGAGTTTCCCTCAATATATATTTTCCCCCTTTTCCTGAAATTTCTCTTGAAAATTATAAATTATGAAAACCATCTGCCTAATCAATGGAACTTAAATCATAAATCACTTTAGCATTTCACTATAACTTTTTCTAAATGATTTAGCAGCCAAATAATATATGTTCAAGTATTTCTTCTAAGACTGAAATGAATAAAAATGTTAAAATTCACAGTCAAAAGTATTCAGAGTTGGTAGTTCCTTTATATATCTAAAGAGGTGCTTTAAACTTTTTCAATACGATATCTTTTTTTTTTTTCCCCCATAACTCAAAGGTAAGATTAGTATTTTAGGTCATAGCTGAAATTCTATCACATATAAAGAAAGTTCTATTCTCTCACCAAAATAATCTAATATCATCATTTTTCTAAAATGGATCATGAAAACCAGTACCTTGTAGTTATGTTGATTTGCATTTTTGTCAAACACATATCCATCCCTTTTTAATGGACATTCATTTAATGTACATCCCTGCCTGATGTACATTAATGAATATTTCCAACCACATCATGATTCTCTTGATTCTCTTTTCTTATATCAAAATACATTATTTTCTAATGTTTCCTTTACCTGCATTAGAAATACATTTTTTGATCTACATGAAATCGTGGAACACTCTGTTTTATAAAGGTAAATTATGGGTTTCTATTTCAATTTGTGATCTTTACCAGAAAACAGTCTGTGCTTAGTCTAAGACTAGGAAATCTTTCTGATTCTGACTAAAGCGAGCTTCTAGTGACTTATCTGAAAGTCTTAATAAATATTGTTTAGTATGTTAAATTTACGAACTTCAGTTATCTTTTCAATTATTTCCCAATTATACAACCTGGGCTTCAGGGTTCCTCTGTGGCCAACTTAGGTTTCTCTTGTTAGGTCATCATGTTAAAGGAAACACTCCTCACATTTGGATGCAGTGTCAAACAGGTGTTTGTGAATTAGTGACAAAATGGATTTGTGAAGAACCAACTAGTATCTCTGTGACAGGCCAGAATCAAGAGAGAAAAGAAGACAGAGTAGGGACTGGCTTTATGGCATAGTGGTTAAGCTTGGCATGCTGTGCTTTGGTGACCCAGGTTCGTGGGTTTGGATTCCACGTAGGGCGTGGACCTACACCACTCATCAGCCATGCTGTGCCGGTGACCCACATACAAAATAGAGGAAGACTGGCACAGATTTTAGCTCAGGGCTAATCTTCCTCAGCAATAAACAACAGATACAACAGTGGTTTCACTTTTAACACTGTTCCTTATCTTTACTTGTTTGTGACCTTAGACAAAGATTACCTTCTTCTCCTTAATGTTTACAGAAAATCTGTCGTAAAGATGCTAGGAGAAATAGTCATTGGGAAGCATACGGTAAATATAAAAAGCCTAAAAGATCATGAATCATCCCTTCTGAATGAAGGGGCTGACAAAGAGGGATAGCGCTGAGGCACAGTGTATAGGAACCTGGGGGCAGCTGTATCTTCACAATAATTTTTGGCACAATGAGGCAAACTGTATTTACCCAAATAAAACAGGAGATGTTCTCATAAAGAATAATCAAAGAAAACGTTATTTTGCACCTGGCTTGAGTGTGAAAAGCAGACACTCCAAATAATGAAGAGTCATCGCAGAATATAGGCAAACACAAGTACTTGTGTGATGCCCCGACATGCATAACTGTGACATACGCTTGTGCATTCCTGGCTGTTCTCTGCGTTTTGGCAGTGCCAGGGCGTAACGTGTAAAATGGCAAAGACCAGGAAGGGACACGATATGCTTCTACAGAATCAAACTTCACCATTCTAGAACAAACTTCTAAAATAGCTAGACACACTAGAATATTATATCTGTTCTGTTCATATTTAAAAGATCTTTAATGTGCATAAAAGAATCCTAAGTTAGTGTTTTGTCCAAATTGTCTGCAAAACCGAAATCAGTTAAATTTAGCTATTCCTATCCCGGATGTGACACCAATCTTGACTGGATTTCTTCAAGACAAAAACACCAGAAAACTCAAATCATAAAAATGATTGTTTTTGTTTACAAACACACAAAAAACATATGATAGCAAAATTCCTAGTCAGAACTAATGTTTAAATATAAAATATCAACAGCATAGTGTTTTTAGAAGTTCTCTATTTACAAATATCCAAAAAGATTATTGTTAAAATATCACATGCAAAGACCTATTTATTATCTACAAAGATCTTTTATATTTTCTACAAAGCCAAGTAGAATAGCTAGCAAATATAAGAGTAATGTTAGGGCCAGCCCTGTGGCTGAATGGTTAAGTCCGTGCTCTCTGCTTCAGCGGCCCAGGGTTTCACCGGTTAGGATCCTGGGCACAGACCTAGCACTGCTCATCAAGCCATGCTGAGACAACATCCCACATGGCGCAACCAGAAAGACTCACAACTAAAAGTATACAACTATGTACCACATGGCTTCGGGTAGAAGAAGGAAAAATAAAATCTTAAAAAAAAGAGTAGTGTTTCAGTCATTTATTCACTCATCATTTTTAAACATTAATTACAATAAGAATTGCTTTAAAAAACTAAAGAAAACTCTGTCTTGGGAAGTCAAGGCAAATATATTAAATCAAGTTATACATGAAAGTAGAAATTGCACATAAGTCATATGAGAAATAAGGGAATAAATACCATGACCTCATTTGAATTATCAAGAGACTTTCCTGGAGAGTGTTAGCATTAAGCTGGATCCTAAGGAAAGAGATGGAGACCACAGGCAAATACTGCAGGCACGAAGCAAACGACAGTAAAGACATGAAGGCAACAAGACAAAAACATGTTAAGGAAAGCAAAGACTAACAAAGATTTGCAGAAAAGACTAAAATTACAAAAGCAAATATCTCTTGACCCAGCAATTCCTCTTGTAGATACTAAGCATGCACATGTATGAGACTATTAACTGCAGCACTGCTTGTAACAGCAAAAGATAAGAAACTATTGGCAGGGCACTATTACAGAAATTATGATACAACCATACAATGGAACATTATGCAGCCATAAAATGGACTAAGAAGGCTACATATTAATATGTATCATCTCAAAGTAGGAAAAAAAGATATGTTACCATTTATGTTAAAATTTACACATACGCTTGTATATATACACACAGAATATCACTGAAAGGATACGCAAAAATCTAGTATCTATGGTTGTTTCCAGAAAGCAAAATGAATGGCTGGAGAATAGAATAAAAGAAAAGACTTTCATCGCATATCCTTTTTTTACCTTTTGCTATTTTGAACCATTTGTATTTTGCCTATTTAAAAAAAAAAACAAAACTGTGGGCCAGCCCTGGTGGCCTAAAGGTGAAGTTCAGCACACTCTGCTTCACTGGTCTGGGTTTGGTTCCCAGTCGCAGACCTACACCGCTTGGTTAGCAGCTATGCTGTGCTGGCGGCCCACATACTAAAAAATAGAGGAAGATTGGCATGGATGTTAGCGCAGGGTGAATCCTCCTCAGCAAAAAAAATTTTTTAAATAAACTTAAAGGTATTTTTATGAAAAAAAAAAAGGACAAGAAAAGCTGGACATACTAGGAAGCCATAAGAAGTGTAGTAAGTAGATATGAATGTTGGGAAGGTAACCTCTGACTTCAGGAAGAGTTTCCCTCAAGGGTAACTGGCTTTTGGTTTGAGTGGGAAAAGAGAGTAGCTTTGATGATTTCTATACCCAAAGGTGTTAATTACACGTAGAGTACATTTTTTTCTGCATTTAATAAATGAAAGTTGTTCCTACTTCTACATGCGTTTGTATTTGAGAGTCCTCATATTTCATTCCAAAGGATCAAATTCCCTAGACACTGTCATATGTTAATCCAGGAGAATGGGCTTTGTAAACTTTAAAAAAAGTTTGCTTTGGGATTATAAATACAATAGAAGCATGACTCAAGACCCACTGCACTTCCACACAGGCAGGTTCTAAGAACTTCACCCTGCAGATCTAACAGGAATAACAGCTCCGAGAGGAAAGCCCCAGCTCCCTGCCTCAGACCTGGGCGCTGTGCAGTGACCCTGCACTAAAGCCTTTTCCATGATATAATCTCAAGATCTAGATCCGACCAAGAGGATATTATTCTTCGAATCATGAAAATGGGGAACAATCTCAATTATTACAGAGCTAAGAGAAGCCCTACTAAGAATACACAGGCATCCTATTCTCCACCAGTCACTGAGAACATCTGAGGGTTCACATGTATTAGGAATCACTCTGGAGACTCCACGCCAAGTTCCTCAACCTGCTGACCTTTCCACAAGTTCTCTGCCTTCATGGGTAGGAATATGAGAATGTGTAAAATTAAGCAGCTAAAAACTAAATCATGCTCACAGTTGGGCTGTAGAAACTAGAAAGGGCAGAGATGTGGGCAGATTTAGAGGAAAAGCAGAATTCTACTGAATAAAAGTTTCAGAAGGTTTCCAAACTCCCAATTAAGAATGAGGGACCTGAGTCACCACAGGGATCAAGCAGGACAGTATAAAGGTAGTTGGTGGGCCTCACTCAGTCATGTGGGCAAATTACTGTTAACAAATCTATCATTAACCAGCTCCCCAAAGCCCTGGGCTCTAATTCTGGTCCTAACACCTGCCAGATGTGTAAGTTTGAAGAAGTTGCTCCTCCTCTGTCTCAGTTTTTTCTTCTTTAAAATGGGGCTAGCACTTCCTACCTTGATGGGAACTTTGTTGTATTTTTTAATGATGATAAGATAGAAAATACTGAGAGTGCTAGGTACATAGTATGCATTCAATAAATGGAAAATATTTTTATATAATAATAATAAAACACAAAGAGATTAAGTTTCTATCAAAAGTCTAACTAGGTGATTATGTTACAAATTTTATATTCGGTCCAAATCTGATTAGTGGTAACTCAACAGTCATTTCTACCTTGCCTACTTAGAGTCAAAAAATTCTAAAACCCTTAAAAAATTAGTCTCTCCTATGAGGAGATTAAAATGGCATGACAGATAAAAGAAGTCTTCTTCAAGACAGAGACCTGGGTAACATTTCAGTAAGGCAACAAATTATAGTTCTTTGAAGTGGCTACCTTTTAAACATTTCTCTACACTACCAGTATATCGAAACTACTATTAAGCAATAGAGCAAGATATATTGCTAAGTTTTATTACAGCAGGCTGATGTTTTTAAAAAGGGAAGGGTGTATATTAGGTGCCAAAATCACGACTGATAAGAACTGTGACTTGCTTCAGCAGGATGCAGTCAGCAGAAGGCGGCGAGGCTGATGTCAAACACCTGCAGGGCCCCAAATCTGCTACCACCTGAGTCCCTACAGGGATGACTAACGAAGGAGAAGAGGTAGATTCCTCTGACAGAAGGACAGTTTCCCCACTCAAGTGAGGCTAGAGAGAAAGCCCAGGAAACACAGGGACTCTCCGGCCACATTAGGATGTGGCCCAGCTACCTTCTGGACAGTGAATCCCAATGGACGTGACTACAGTCCTCTAAGACTTTCAGAACAGAGACCAGACGAGTGAATATACCACCATGCATTTCTACTGATTACATTTGGATTTTTTTTAGATGAAATAACAAGACAGTGTATCATGGTAATTATTCTTTTTAAGATTTTGAAAGAATCAAGGAAATTTTGTCCAGTATGTGTTTAGAGCACATAAGTTATTCATAAGGGCTTTGCTTTTATAACAACAAAATATCCCACCCGTTGTTAAAGACATTTATAACATGTATCTATTATTTAAACAAACACATTTAAGTCAGATATATCCAACTTCTCTTCTCCTTAGGAAAAAACAGAACAAAGCCAGTCTTTATTTTAGAATACCACCACTTCACTGTAAATTGTTTCAGAAAAAGTGTAAGTATTAATATTAATGTTTTAAATACCGTTCTTTAAATAATACTTACCTAAAATTCGGCATAATCTTCCAAACAACATAAAATAAGGACTCTGGGCTAAATGCAGTCTGGCTACCTTGCCATAAAGCACAGAGTGTTTTTCTAAACTCTTCCACCAAAGACCTGGAAAAGAGGAAGGGACAACAGTCTTAGCATTAGTGAGAGGCTACTATTTCAGTGCATAATGTCCAATTGTCTAAAATTCATAAAAAATGAAAACATAAAAATGATTTGGTCTCCTCTGAATTAAGTCTGACAGTTAAGGAAGAGCAACTCAAAAACCCATACAAATAGCAGTAATTACTGACAAAACTAGTTTTTTAACCATACGGTGAACTTTCAGTGTGCCAAAGTACTGCCATACTTGTACACAAAGCAATGCATAAGTTACAAACCAAATTACTTAAGAATGTACATTTTAAAAAACTTAAAACAAGTGCCAGAACCTCTGTCTCCATCTCCTGCATCTTCCTTCTTGCCCCTCACTAGGAGCACTTCCCTGACCTCAATGTGTGATCATCTGCTCTTCTCTGCCTCAGAGGGTTCATCTGGCCACAGAGCTTCAACACTCAACTCTATACCAATGACTCTCAAGCTAAAAGCCAGATTTTCTCATGACCACTTTTATTCAGGTTTCTCCAGTTTCCAACAGGAATTTTCTACTGGATGTCCTCTGTCACTTCAAACTCAATGTGTACTAAACTGGCTCTGTGTACTCTCCTCGCGTTCCCCAATATCCATTCTCCTCTTCTCTCACAGGAATAGAACGCTTTTGCTCAGCACATGAACTCCTAGAATAAAAACGTTTGAGTGTGTCCAACTTCGGAGAAATTTCCTTAAAGAGGAAGAGTAGTCCTTCATATTAATCTCTTCCTTCTTCTGTCTAGCTTGAATGAGGACAAAATGGTGGCTCTCCAGCACCATCTTGGACTATGAGGATGAGAGCCCCACCCTAGGGTTGGTGGAATAGAAAACTACAAGGAGCCTGATGATTGTGTGATACAGTCCTAGATAGAGAATCTTCAACCTTTACATGAGAAAATAAACCATGAGTATTTAAGTCGCCGTTAATTTTGGTTTTTTATGCATGTAGGTAAACTGATACACGTCCTCAACTTTGATGACTATATAATACAACTACCAAACTTATGGATACCTAATTGATAGCTCAGAGAATTTCAATATCTTCTTTCTCAACTCCTGTTATCTCATAGGTTCCTGGGATACAAATCATATTTTTTTACTTCCTGCTACCTGAACCCTCTTCCTATGTTTGAGGAATTCCCTTCCTTAAGAGGCTTGGTGGGAGTCAGAGCCTGCCTTCCACTGTGGAAGCTGAAAAGGCCAGATACTTGCTTTCTCAGCCTCCTTTCTGCAGCCCAGACTCAGGTACCCAGCCTGGGTTCTGCCTATTTGAAGCAGGAGTTAGTGATGCAAATAAAGATGGGACAGTGCTAAATATTTTCCGGCAGCAAAGAGCATCCATCATCCGGAGTGCAAAGGCAGCAGAAACAGCAGCATTCACCCAGCGCCCAACTCCAGCAGAGCTGGCAATGGGAACTCTGGTGTTGCACTGGGCAGTGGAAGCAGTGATGTCCTTATGGGACAGTTCCGTGGGATGACTGAACCTGTGGTACTGGATGCCTAGACTCTAGACCTGATTTTCCACCCATCCAGTAATGGTTAGCTCACGAATCCAGCGGCAGTAAATTCTTTTTGGGCCAGGATGGCCAGGGGCAATTTCTGCAGTTTGTAACTAAACCCTCAATGACACTAATGCATTAAGTACTACTAATTCTTCCCTTAACTTTAGTGTATGTGTACTTTTTCCGCTTCATTTCACTGCTATGCCCTCCAACCCAATTATTATAAAGTGTGGAGCCTCCTTGAATGCAGGCATTTTCCAGCTCATCCTGCATGTTGCTACAAAAATAAATTCTTAAAACACCACTTCTAGTAATCTCATTCCATCCCTGTTCCAATGCCTGGCTTTAAACTTCCCCCATATTTTGGCTCTATCCATACTGTACACTATTCCAACATGTTCTGCCCTATTCTCCTTCAGCCACGTAGGTAGAACAGTGTCAGATTTTAAGATGGCTTTTCAGAATGGGGATGGAGTATGTGGGAGCAGGGATGGGCAGGCAGGGAAAATATTACATTAAAATATACATAGATTATAAATCATAGTCCTACTTCAGTGATGTTAAGATATGAAAAAATGCACCCCTTACAATCATGATAATACGACACATCTTCTGAACCCCAAAGAGAGCATGGCTACACTGAATCTGAATACATACTGGTTCTCTATAATCACTTGTCAGTTTTTTCCCCACTCCATTATCAACTAATAATTGACTGTATTGCCCCATAATTAATTTGATGGCTACAAATTAATTTTATTATCCAAGACATGTTTACATAATACTATCAGACAAATCAACTCACAAAGACTCATGATATCCATGCTGGGCTACACCTACAATTGTATTCCATATAGAGATGTCAACTTTAGAAGGTTCAAACCCACAAAGACTCAATAAGTAGAGTGCTAAATTTATCCTACCTATTAGGTAAATAGAAATAAAATAATTCCAACAGTTATTAAGATTTCCAGCTAGATACTTAAACACAATTTTTAGAATAAGAGTTTTTAAAAATGTATGTGCCTGTTAACTCACACAATGCAATCGAAATCATCAGTAAGAGTCACTGGTTTTGTAGCTCAAAGCCAGAAAGGACACATTCTTAGAACTCACACATTGTTATCCCCTTGGCTCCTGGTGTGGTATGTTCGTCTTCCTGCTGTTTTCCCATTCCTTAACTCCACAGCGGGCAGTTCTTTGAAATAACAGCAAAACTGCTCAATGTTACTATTTTAAAAGGAAGGGAAGAAAATTATTAACAAAAAAAAAAACAAAACAATTTACTAGGACTGTAAAGAAAGTTCTATGTAACCTACATAGGAATTTTGAAAATGTGCTATTTCAAATCTCATTTAAATTGTTCTCAATGCAATTTCTTGCATGGAGGTTCTTCATTAAGCTTCCTCATTTACTCTAAGAAAACAGTATAAACAGCTGACTTTGTAGAAATGAACAAAGAGCTTAAGCAAAATCTGTTCAAAAAATCCTTGCTCCCCCTCCCCATAAGTTATTGCCATTTCTTTCTTTCCAGGGTACTTGTTTCCAGATATTCAATATTTTCCTCAAATAAAAACAAACCAGGAAACCAGCCATCTTGTTTAGATACACTATACAGATAACAAGGAGAATTCAGTAGTGACTAGAGCTTCTTATTTAAATAAGACTAGATAAGCTGAGAGACAGTACCTCTAAGGAGAGATCAAATATGGCTTCTGCTCCTTATCAGCAAGGTGGCCTTGGGAAGATAATTTACTCTGGCCTAAAGTATCTAAATTTCAAAATAATTTCCTCTACATAACTTAGGTCAGCCTTGTTGGCTATCTTATTTTTACTACCTATCTTACATTTTGAAGATCTTCTAAACATTTGATCTGAGGACCATACTTAAGACTCAACTAATGAATGAACGAAGTTCTCTGAACTAGGTTCCCAGTAGCCCAGGAGTCCGCAAACTATGGCCCACCAGCCAAATATGCCCCTGGCCAGTGAGCTCTTATATTTTTAAAGTGAGTTTTACATTTTTAAAGAGTTGTTTTAAAAAGGGAGCAGAGGGGAGGGGGAAGAGAAAAATATGTGAGAAAGATTGGATGTGGCATGCAAAGACTAAAATATTTACTATCTGGCCTGTTACTGAAAAAGTTTGTTGACCTCTTCTCTACCCCATTCAAGAAGCAACAGGAAATAAAAAATAATAGCTAACAGTTATTTACTGCTTGGCATCTTCTAAGCACTTCATATAAATTATATGATTTAATCTTCCCAACTAGTCTATGAGGTATAACTATTATCGTTAATTTTACTGAGGAGGAAACTAAGGCACAGGGAATTGAGGTCACACTAGAAATCAACATCAGATACTTAAGCTCTGACTGTGACATTACCTGAGTGACTGAAGAATAGCATTCATGAAACATGTGTTCCCCAAATTCCGAAGGCCCGTGGCACAAATGGCAGTGGTGCTTCCCTGTAAAACAGGACAAGAAGAGGGCATGAGTAATGCCAAGAGAAGGCCAACTGTTTCCAACATCAAGCAAAGCAAAGGCCTATATTTGAAACTCTAGCATCAAGACAATTTGGAATTGGTCCTTTTCTGTCCAATGAATATTTCAAACTCTCTTTTTAGTCTCTGCATAGGTGTTTTGATATTTTTAGAAGGCTGTTTCTGATCTTGGAACTGTTCTAAGTGGGAGTACCTCATGGAAGCTTATGAAGAAATCAATATTAATAAATACCTTGGAGTACACAATGGAAAAACCAGGAAGATCCTTAAAAGAAATAAAGTTTAACACTTAATTCCTTTTTAAAATTATATTTAAACTACTACAAATTGAAAAATATAAATATATACACCCCAAGTATTTCTGTCTCTAAACTTTTAACTCTAAGCCATGCATAAATGACCATTACATGTTTTCCTAGCAATGGAACGTCAATCTTAAAAAACTACCTGAACTTCCCTTAAAGACTAAGGCTTGGTTTTCTCATTAGCTCTACAAATGCAACATGACATCTGAATATGAATCTACCAATCCAACCCAAAGCATCTCTGCCCATAATTCAGATGGCCAGAGAGCACTTTAGCTCTTTCTTCCACAAAATTGTAAGACTTTAATTAAGTGCATGTCTAAACATAGCTAGCATGAGGTAGAGATAATATAGCAGAGAGGTAGATGAAGGGCAAAATTACTGGGTATTTAAAAATATTTAGCCATCTTTATAGGGACCGGCCCTGTGGTGTAGTGGTTAAGTTTGCATGCTCCGCTTTGGCGGCCCAGGATTCGCAGGTTCAGATCCCGGGTGCAGACCTAGCACTGCTTGTCAAGCGATGCTGTGGCGGCATCCCACATAAAACAGAGGAAGATTGCCACAGATGTTAGCTCAGAGCCAATCTTCCTTAAGCAAAAAGAGGAAGATTGGCAACAGATGTTAGCTGAGGGCCAATCTAACTCACACACACACACACACAAAATTAGCTACCTTTAAATTTTGTTACTCCATTAATGGCTCATACATCTGGTAACAGATAGGTACCAGAATGAGAAAGCATATTCTTTCACAGTGAAACTATATTAATGAAGTCCTAAGAAAATTTACCAAAACTCCAGAATTTGCACTAGGGACCTTTAACAGAAGAAAGCAAGGATCTTTGGGATCCTATAGAAACGGAATAAGGTACATGAGTGGGTGTTAAGAACAAAGGCTTGCTACGGCAGAGGAGCACGCAGTAGTCCTGGAGGAGGCAGGCGCTGACAGATGGACTCGCCAGAGAACTGAGTCACATCGAGAATCACTAGTACAAGGGGCAAACATTTTGTCAAATATTCCAAATCCAATGCATACATTTATAAAAGTTTATGAAGGACAACGTTCATGTCAGAACTGTAATAAAACAGTGATTAGATCTTAACCGATTCTTCTATTTGAATAAATTTTAATTACTTACATTTACTTTTAATAATTTGCTGTTTAGTGATGAGTTTTCCAAGAGTTTTCTTTTCCTATGCCTGTCAGCTGTGAAAGCTGAGCTATTAAAATACAAACAGAGAGTCAAAAAGACATTAGTACATACATACTACACAGCAGGGTAAAAAATAAACTTGGCTGTCGTAAGCCTCTTGGGAAGGTACGGAGCCCTGCCTGGCTGTGCAGCTTAAGGCCAGGAAATGCCCCGTTAGGCCCAGTGTGGCCCACAAGTATGTGAAGTAACTGAGGCGCTCCACTTCCCTTGGAAATCCCCACTGTTCCTCCAGCAGGGCAGGACTGGAAGCAGCCTCCACCAGGCCCCTCCCAGAAAAGCTGGCCAGGTAGATGTAGTTCGTGAGACAGTCCCTCTATCTGCCTCATCAGTTCTGAAGCTTCAAAAATGGGAAGACCCATTCCTCATAACAAAAGGAAAATCCTGGTCTGACACGACTGTTCTAAGATTAAATATTAATCCTCAAATACTATGCTTTCTTAATTAAATACTATAGTTTCTTTACTTAAATAGTATACTTCTTTCTTAATTTTGATAAAGATAGCGTGTTTTGCTCATTTATTCTAATAGACTATGATACAATCAGTTTGTGGAATAATAAATAAATTACAGGCATATGTAGGCATATATAAATTCATCTGATTCAGCTATGCTGCAAAGAATATTCTAAAACAAATCCTAATTAGCAAACAAATGCTAAATTAAAATTATTGAAAGACTTTCTTGATGAAAGATATTTTGCTTAAATTTTATCAGAAAGTAATTCCAGCCTTCAAAAGGTCCTTTAAAATTATTATGCGTCAGGAGAACTAATCTAAAAGAAGTAAATATTATCATTAATCACCACTAAGACCTTTAAGTCTGCCAGCCCTTTCCCATCTTCTGAAAGGACCAGACAAATCCAAAGTAAATACATAATTATTTAACTTCCGCATGAACTATATCATCTTTGGAACATCAGATCTAGTGATAGTTGCTTCCAATCTGAAAATATTCTTAGGAAACATGGCTTCAGAACTGTGTGCACGTCCCTCTCAGAAGATCTGTGACTACAAAGAAGAGACCATTGTGAAGTTATTCCTTCACAGATTCTGTAAGTAAAGAAGCTGAATCCTGAGCACAGTAAATATACTACTTAGTAACAATGCCTAATAGTTACCTTTCAGTTTTAACCTACAGAAATAAAGCATTTAGCTTTTACAAATACAAGTTACTAAATTTTACCCTCAGTGATTCTCAAAATGGTAGAATCCTCTAGATCCACACTGTCTCCTATGGTTGCCATTTACTACATGTGGCTATATAAATTTAAATTAATTAAGCTTAAATAAAGTTTAAAATTCAGTTCCTTGGTCACACTAGCCACTTTTCAAACACTCAGTAGCCGCATGTGACTAGTGGCTATCATATTGAACAGTGCAGATTATAGAAAATTTCCTTCACTTCAGAAAGTTCTATTGCACAGTGCCGCTCCAGAGGATGTGAGAATAGTCTAAAGTTAAGTAAAACACAAATATAATCATAGTTTTTAAACTGCAGCTTCCACTATAGACTAAAGCCTACGTTTGAAAAACATAAAAATGAACTTAGGTAATGTTTTTCAACACAGTTTGAAAAGTACAGCAAGGTAGATTTTTCAGTGGAGCCAAGCAGAAGTATAGACAAGGCAGTCTGTGCCATCTTTTACCCGATGAAGTGCTCAGTGGAAATAAAAGATTTGATAACTGCATAAATGCATGCAGGTTCTTGAATGTCCTCTTTTCCCTTTGACTTAGTTCTGATGAATTTATTTGGGATTGAGATGGTAGTCTTTTCTGAGAGAAAACTATAAATGGCAGAAAAAATATTCTAGTAGCTACCTACTTCTATAACAAAGAATTAAGTTAGTAAGATATTTACGATGACATCACCACACCAAAGAGTGATGTTACATAAATTACGGCAGGAATCTACTTCCCAGTTAATTGTCACAATTTCAGACAAAATTAAATATTTTGGGTCTGTGTATCAATACTGCATCTACCTATGTTTCTAATCCTAGGTGGGGCTCCTGCTGCTCTGTGAAAATTAAAAGGGAGGAAGCACTTTGAAAAAGAGAGGAGTCAAAAGATGACAAGCCAGAAAAGTACTTAAACCCAAAGTGTTTTAATTAGTTTAGATTTTAAAGAAATCAATTGTTCCCTTAACAGCTTTATAATCTATTTAGTCAACAAGATACACATAAAAGACTTTGGTGAACCAAAACTATACAGTTTCACTCAAAGAATTAGGTTATTTCCTCCCAACATACAATTTTAAAATATTCTATTGGCTTTACATTTAAGTTTGCTGAGGGACTCTGACTTCTGGCATGTTCTCACCATAGCTTCTGTACATCAACTGTCAAAATAAATTCGATGGCACCTGATGACGAGAGTGACTTACACCAATTTCACTGGAGTCAGCAGTCATTCCAGGGCCACGCTTCCATGCACTGCAGCTTGAAAGGCACTGCTCTTTGGGTTTCTGTTTATTGCTTGAATTTTGGGTACAGTGAGTTTTATCTAAATAAGCTATTTGGCTATAGTAAGAAAATTCTATCCACATAAGTAGTTTCTGTATGATGCAAAACATTTCACAGCCTCTTGTAATTTCAAGCGATATGTACTGTCTCTAATAAAAAAGGAAAAGAAGAAACTAGGATTTTGTGCTATCATATAGATGCAAAGTGGACAAGAATACAATTAAACCTAATTTCCCTTAAAAATAATGCATAAATTTTAGTGCTTCTAAGACCGCCTCATAATATATTTGACAAAGATTTTCCAATATCAAAGGTAACTCTATAATGATTTTATATTGTTTTATGCCCTTTCCTTGCTCCCCCCAAAATTTCCCTTACAAATAAATTGAGTAGCTTCTAAGTCGTTGGATAATAACTAAGAAACAGGTTTTTGGGTCCTTGACTGTGGTTTATGATAAATATTAAATGAAATAAATGCTGACAGTTAACCACGGGCTCAGTTTCAGATATCCAAACACAAAGTTTATTTTATTAACATTTCAGTCACATTAAAAACATGATAAAATTATGGAACATATAGACAAAAATGCCACTCAAAAATTCTAAAAGACCCCTCAACCCCATTCTATCCCCTTGCTTTTCGAGGGCCTGCTACTTACTTTTCCAAGTTCTGTAAGTGTTCTCTGACTTTCTGTACCAGTCCCAGCTTGGTGTCATTAACCACAAAATCATCACAGCGATAACTGCAAGGAAAATATTAATCAACGTGTGTCAAGAGTTTGAGGAAACCACAGTAATGAAATCGCTAAAAGGCCTGGCTGCTGCCAAGATGATCACATGGCCCTGCAGGCAGTTACTGTCGGTGGTAAGTTTAAAGAGGACTTGGAATCCACAGTGGAATGTTTTTTAAGGGCCTTTTTAAAAGCCACGTAGGCAACGAACACTAGCCTCTTTTCACATTTTCATTCAAAAGCTCTTCAATTCCCCCTTTGAAATTGAAAGAAGCTGCTATATGTGTGACATTCTTCTTAGTGGTGCATAATACATGGAAAATGAAATAAAAAGCACCAATTCTATTCATGTAGCATTAAGCCTAAAGCTTTAAGGTGATACTTCCCAACTCAAATTAAGGGGGAGTCTGGGGGGAGGGGAGATTTAAGTGAACGGCAAGCAGAAGGTAATTAACCTGTAGGAATATTTGAATTTTAAAACTAGACATTTTAAACTTAATTTAATGAAAATAAATTGAATTGAGGCAGTTGAGAAGAATGAATCTTTTCATTCTGAGGAGCTATAAAAAGTCTAAAACAGCGGCTACTTTTAGGAAACTGGTACCTGCTTTGAAGAAAGATGTTCAAGGGGTTCTTTAAAACTGTGTGTGTGTGTATGTTAGCAAGTCAATAAGCAAATAATGTAAGGAATCACATGTAATCAACTTTAACTTGTACATTAACATTCAATTTTTTTCCTGGGAAAGGCCAATTTTAACAAAAACAACTTACAAGCTAGTACCAATATATTCTTTTGAATAGCAGCTTTGTATAAAACCACTTTTTATAACTACCAAAGAATAATGACAATAACACTGCCATTCTGAGCAAATAAAACTTTGAATGCACAGCAATTAGTAAAAATCAGATCCCTAGCAGAATCCAAAAAACATTTCTTACATATCAGAAATCAGTCTATAAAAAAATGAGAGAGAAATGGGGGAAAGTAATTTTAAAAAAGACACAAAAGCATGGCCTGTGTCTTTTATTCACAGGAGTCAAAATTTTAAGTGAACGTTTTCAAAAACCTTAACTAAAATATCATATACGTAATTATTTAACACCCCTCCCCCCATAAAGTGACTACCTCCTGTCAATCAAGAGTCTCTAAGTATTCTCCAAGTGTCCCAGGTCACACTCTAACATTTCCACAAATAGAAAAGCTACTTTTTACATCCTTGACCATTTCTCTATGATCAAAGTATCAGCAATGGCAGGAGAATAATTCTTTATGGGTTTTATGACAAATACATGAAGGAATTAAATAGTGAAAAGGTTTAATTCCTTGCCTCCTCTCAGTATAAAGGTTAAGAGGTAAAGTCTACTCTGCCTGTAAATTTGGGCTTAAGGCACTTGGTGCCTCCATGAACCGCAGACATTCACTGAAGAATGAAATTGCATTGTTACTCTAATTCCTCCCTATATTTTCATTCTCTGTTTGCATAAATTTATGCATGTTATTTCCCATAAAACAATACTCAGTGTTCAAAACAAAAACAACTCTAAATGCTAGTGTTCATCTGGGAAAGTAGGAGCAAATTCAGATTACCTTTAATATATGTACAGGCTGCCATAATCTCTAATTGAAAAGTGAACCCCTTAACCTCCAAAAAAAGTGTTTGCTTTGTTTAAAGAAACAAATTCTTTCAAATTAAATAACTGATTCTTTTTTCTTATTAAAGTAATTCTTTTTGATGTGACATGGATTCAGCCTGGAATATAAATTTACTTTATATTTGTAAAGGTTAACATTTTCATATATTGAAATGTAGATTTATTTATGGCCTTGCTCCATTCTGAACTAATCTGACTTAACTGGGTCTAGTTGTTTCATCTCCCTGAACTTTCATCATTAAAGTGAGTAAGTTGCTCTGGACTCAAGAGCTGTGTTAATGTGGCTAATGCAACTGAGCAACTGAATTTTAAATTTTTTTAATTTTAATTGACACAAAATTTCACTTAACAACCGAAGCAGTATAAAATATTTTTCCATTAAACATAACTTTATGGTTTTGGTAAAACTGTATTTCACTTTTATTATTACATCCATAAGATGTATTACAGTGCATATGATGGGTGCAAGTGTCCTTTCTAGTGTTACACATAAGCATGTCACAATCTAGTTTGTGTCAATAGAATGATTCAGTTCAAGTTATTTTTCTGTGCAACAATGTAGCACTGTAACGTGTTTGAGTATTTTATGCAGACAGCATGAGTTACAGGGATACCTATGTAAACAGTAATTGGCAGTTAAATTGAAACATTTATTTTAATTACAATGTAATTAAATTATTTTTCTAGCTCAAAAATTAAGAATGAAAAAATTTTAACTTTCAAATGAAGGCATACTAATGAGACAGACTTGAGTGGAGAAGATCTGTCACAAATTTTACAAAGAATAGCAATTACCATTTGCTGCAGCAGAGCAAAATGAATAAACTGTAAAAAAAAGTTTTTAGATACTAGACTAGACAATGTTAAGAGTCATTTTCAGCAAATGCATATTAATAACTTACCTCTCAACAGTCAAAAAGAATCAATTAAATTAGTCACAATCAATGAAATTGGAATTAAATGTCTAACAAAAAAATTTCTAATGATTATTAAAAGATTGAGCTCTTAATTTCGGCCAGCTATAAAATGGCTTGAATTCCTGCTCAAGAAAGAAAACTATTTTTAGATGGAGAGATAAAAACTTTAATTATTATTTCAGCTAAGGGAATTATGTTTAAAAATTTGAGGAAAAGATTAAAAAGGATATTTTACAAAAAGCGAAAGATCTTCAATTAACCACCAAGCAAATGTCAGTGAATAAAAGACTTTTCTAAGAATATTAAAGATCAATCAACTCAACATTTGAAAAATTGCAAGTACTTTTACTTTTTAGCTTTAGATGAGTTCTACCAGATAAGAGATACTGGCCAATTAATACAAAGTTGGTTACATTTTTGTCTCAAATGACTTCCAAATTTACAAGGAAATGTCTTTCACCTTAAAAATAGTCGATCTCATGTTGTAGGTATTTTTTAATCCTTTACATCTGTCACTTTCAGTTAGATATGAAAAAATTAGTTTATATCAAAACAGACAATGGGCCAGCCACGTGAGATCAAAAATCTGGATTTACTGGAATTCTTATGTTTGTTCCTCTATGTGATAACATATTGAAAATGTCTGTGCTCTGAAGTAGTCTGTATTATGGTTGCAGTTATTAAAATTGTTCAGTATATATGTGCAAATGCTATAAATCATCACCAGTTTATGAAACTGTTATAAGAAATAGAAGATACTGAATTTAATGACCGCATGTTCTTTGCCAACGTTCATTGCTTGAGTCACGGAAGAGTTTTACAAAGATTTACTGTAAACTCTAATTCAAGATTTTCTTGAAACAAAAGCAACATCTGCCAATATTCAACAGTCAAAGAGAAAACATCACAGTGTGATTTACATTTTTTCACCTTATCACAAGGCACATTTGAGAGAGCTAAATGTAAAGATCCAAGGAGAGAAAAAGCTTACCCGTGGCCTGGCTAGACAGGTATGAGAATTTATGATAAAATTTAAACCTTTCATAATACAAATGAATAATGATTTTACACATATTTAATGAATAAATATCAGGAGATTTTAATTGTAATAGCATTACGTAAATTGGCTGCAAAATCTATGAGAAAAATTGGAGAACACTTTGTTGGTATAGATAATTTAGAGTCAATTTTCAGTTTAGTATATAGTGCCCCTTTGAACTGGATGTTGATAATACAGAGGTGTTACAAGAGTTAGTGGATTTACTCAACTTACAGGTAGTTTTGAAACTGATATGCTTTTGCTTCAGGGTCAAATCAATTGTTCTAAAAAGATGTCAGTTTTGTCAATACAGATGCAAATATTAAAGAAAATGGGGTGTTTTTTTACTTCAATCATTTATTGGAAAACTTTTAATAGTGTTTGGAATCTACTTTCTTTCTTTGTGTTTTTTGGTGAGGAAGATTGGCCCTGAGCTAACATCTGTTGCCAATCGCCGTTTTTTTCACTTGAGAAAAACTGTCACTGAGCTAACATCTGTGCCAATCTTCCTCCAGTTCGTATGTGGGATACTGACACAGCATGGCTTCATGAGCAGTGAGTAAGTCCATGCCTGGAATCCAAACCTGTGAATCCAGGCCACCAAACCAGAGCACTCAAACTTAACCACTACACCACCAGGCCAGCCCCGCAGAATCTACTTTTTTAAGTGCAATTTTTTTTTAATCTAAATAGAGATCAAGCATTTCTGATGAAAATTTAGCAACTGAATGGAGATGCACTCTAAGTGTAAAATACACGCTGGATTTAGAAGGTTTCATATGAAAAAAGAATGAAACGATAATTTTATTAATTTGACTACATGTTGGCATAATATTTGGATAATTAGGTTAAATAAAATATACAATTAAAATTAACTCACCTTTTTGTTTTTGCTTTTTTAATGTGGCTACCAGAAAACTTTAAATTACCTACGTGACTTGTATTATTTCTGTTGGATAGCACTGCTGGTCTAAAGAGTATCTAAGACCCTACCTCTTCTAACATTCTATAATACTACACAATATCATAAAGAGGTAATAAATACAACTTTATTGAACTATAAGAAATCAATTTTATTTTGGCTGGATTTGTTTTCACTGGCTTTAAAAAGTCTTTTTTGTTTTCACAACTGTTCCTATTTCTTGAGCCAATATTAGGTTCTCTTACAGTCATTCAGAAGGATACTTATTTCTAAGATTATTACTGTTGTACTGTCTGAATTTACCACACTATATGAGTGTTATTTGATGATGATGATGAAAGGAAAGCACCTCCTTCCACAGGTCCAAACTTCCATGAGTCCCTGGCATGTGGTAGAGGATCAATAAATGTCAGTTTCCTTCGTCTTTGTAACCAACAGCTGCCTTAAGAGCTGCCTTACAGCACACACTTCGCTAACTGCC